AAATTGATTGTGTAAAGGGCTTGCTTGCAAACATCAAGGGTAAAGTTGAAATATTCATTACCTCTAGGTCACTATGTGAATGTTGTGGCTATACATGGGATATTTAAARCTGGTGTGTACTGCAGATACTTTTAGAAAACTGAGTTAACTAAGAACAGAAGCCTGAATTTAATACAAAAGCTACAGGATATATCCAATATCCTGCTTTAATACATAAAGTGAAACATTTTTTTAAAAAAAAAGAAAAGTTGCCTGCTAAAATACAAAGTACRGCTCCTAACAGAGGAGATAGCCTCTATCTCCCAGCTCTATCTCCTCTGTCTTCTGGTACTTTTTTTAACCTTCCAAATCATTAATATTTTATATTTTACATGACACTCATAAGACAGAGCTTTCAGAAAGTTACTACATAAAGTGAATTTACTTTGCATAAAATTATATTTTTGGTAAACCATCTCTTTTCCTCAAAGCTGCCAGTTACACACAAGAAGCTTGTTTTAATTTTCTTTGTTTTACCTTATACAGTTTGAAGATATTATATGCAACTTGTAAGCATATTTGCCTTTAAAACAAATCAGAATTCACACAGGCTTTTTTGAAAAATTAGGCTAAAAGTGCAAAGTTAAGCTCTTAAAAGTCAGAGAATAACAAAGTCTATGCATTCCTGATTAAACTTTCTCATTTTTAAGGTATTATTATAAAATAAACATGCATACTGCACAATATTCTTTTTCATTAATTATTCCCTTCAAAACTGGACAGCGCAGTAAACAGAAAGAGAATTACACAATTTGCAGGACTTTGAATTAATTTAACCTTATTAAATTAATCTACAGCAGAAAAAAATATCAGTTATATTATTGATCACAAAGGAAGAACATAAAACATAATCTCTAAGAAAAAAACAGAGGCTAAAATTCTTTCTTTGATCCATAAGTACTTTGAAAATTGGATGGCGCCTGGCAAGTTTCACGAAGCAAAGACTGGCCATAGAGGTAACTTAAGTCTACTTGGTTAGGGCAAGGGGGACCATAATGAGATTTACTATCTCTCCACAAAAGACTTCTCTAATTGCATCAGTCGTTGCAAAGACAACGCATTTCTGATTTGACATGGGGTGAGTTGGTACAATTCTGACATACCGCAAATACTTTGCTAACTGATATTAGAAGTGATAAAAAGAATATGGGAATATTCCCCTCAATTTTATACTATGCAAACCCAAGAAGAATGTACTGAGCCACACAGCAGCCATTTCTTTGGTCCTAGGATTTTCTGTCCTGATGGATTTTAAAAGACGTAATCCAAAAAGAGAGAGGAAAGGCAACATATTCTTATTGGAAGTTAACAATTTTTATCATCATTTCCATTCAAGTTAATTATCCAGCACCATAAGTGAGCGGTTTTTAGACATTACTATAACAAATGAATTTACACGCTGTACACACACAAGAGCAGTGCTGATTAATGACAGGGCAGGTGTGCACAGTACAGCAGTGAGAAACTGTGTATATTACACAAAGTAGAAATATTTTTCAACTAGATGTACTCTACCAGACAAACAGGAACAGACACAATTCTTCTATGGGAATTGTGGCACCTCTAACTCCTCTTAGCCCACTACAAGTACAAGAAAATTTAATGGTAAGGCTGAGATGGTTTATTTAGGCAAAGCGCTGAGATTTTTAAATCAAGTTTACTTTGTGACCTATGCAGAGCAGATATTTTCCTCACTCACAGAGAGGTATAAAAAAAGATGCTAAAAAATCCTGTATCATGCAAAGTGAATGTTACTCTGATACTCATCACTAAGTTAAATATACTACTTTAACTTAATCTCACTTCTTACCATGTCACTATTTTGTTATATTTTTTATATATTTTCACTTTGAAATATATGAAAATTATTAATAAAACTATTAAATGTCATTTGCATGTCAAATATACAAACCTACACCTTTTTCATGAAGGTTATTTTTAAAGTAAGGATATATGCAAGGACATACTAAAATAATAATCCTAACATAACTAACATAACCTGTCATGTGGCAAGAAGAGCATTACCCACAGTGTAACACAACATCAGGATATAAACCATGTGTGTACAGAAAACAAACTAGGTTTGTCCAAGAGAAGGTAGCAATAATAAACATAAAGGATTCTTTACACAATACTTCAGTGCAAAACAATTATTATCCAAAATGAGTATTAACAGAAATTTCAGGATCCAGGAATACCTGTTTGGACAGGAGAGTCCTGATTTGTAATATTCTAAAATCTAAACCTATAACATTATTTAAAAGCCATCTCGAATTCCTACATAAAATGATAAAATGCTATCAGATCTCTGCAAGAAAGACTACTTCAAAAACTTACACTTTCAGGATATACAATCTCACAGAGAGAGGTAGAAGAAGATGGGTAAAAAGCAAGGAATGAGATGAATGACAACCTGAAAAAATGTTAGAGGAGAATGACACAACTTAGTAACAGTCACTGTTCAACTACTTGGCAGTTCCTGAGTCAGCTTCAATCCCTGTTTGTATCTACCTGCAGCTTCTTTCCAGGATTTAGGGGCACAAGGTAGAAGCTACTTCATGGGTCCTGACTCCCCAAAGTCAGTCCAATTGCCTAGAAGCACTAAAGAAAGATTATGTCTCAGAACAGGGTAATTCATCCCCCTTTTTAAATGCAAAATTSCTTCTCTAAAACTACTCAGTTGCTGTCTATACTGTGATCCATCAAATTGCTTTCTATTGGGAAATTTTTAAGTCAACAAATCTTTAAAGTTGATAAATGGCAACTYGGCTAAGAACCCTTTACATTTACACACATGAGATTTACCCCGACTTTATATTAGATCAAATAATATATTTCAACTGAAATCTGTATTTCATCCACAACATCAGGTTAATCTCTATTTAGCTAAAAGACAGCAGACCAGTTTTGAATGAAGATGTAGAAAAATAGCACAGTTCTATTATTGGTTACAAAGAGATCTTAAGCCTATCTTTGAATTAGCCACTGCTAACACTTAGACCAACAAGAACCAGATTTGACTTAGTCAGCAAGGGAATATAAAGGTTTTGCAACCTCTGCCTCCAGGATCTTGAGACAAGACTTACAGGTCTATCTGAAATCACACTTACTTTCTCCCACATAAATACGTATTACATGCATCAAATGTGACATTACTCAACCTCATACCAAGATCCTTCTGATACAAAGAAAAAACACATTTTTTTGCTCATTTCATAAAGAATAAAGATGAAGCAGTTGACTGAACTGATGTCAAGCTCAAATATATTCATCTGCATTATTTTATGCAATATCAGTATGACATTCAGATGTTTTTTATTGCTTTACTCACCCTCACAAGTGTGAGCTTTCAAATTGTTAAAAGTTGAGTACTTCAGTGGTTTCTGCAACTGGGAATAGGAAGATCTGACTTTCATTTTAATTTTAGTGAGATCTGAATGGAAGCTTAATCCAGAATGAGCTCTATGTATGTAAAGATTTTAAATCTCTTTTTTATCCAAGTCTTCTGAATCTTTCAAATTTCTGTAAGACTTGACAATTGAAGACTTCAGATAGTATTACTTTGTCAGACTATAGGCTACTGCATTAGGAGTATAAGCAAACAAGATTGTTCTCCTTCAATTTATTTTATTCAATAAGGATATAAAATAATAAAAAGCTATTGCATAATTTCTACTATTTAGGTCAGTCTCATCACTAGATGACTCCTAACTTTAAAACAAGCACTGTCAATTTCTTAAGTGGAAAAGTCTTTAGTCATTGCTTGAACTTTTGTTGTCAAGTTGCCTAGAAATTCTTAGGAACTGGCAATTTTTAATTTTTTCCCTTTCTCCATTTATCCTGTGTCTGGTTCCACTTTTRTAGGAGAAAAATAAAAGAAAAAAAAAGTCTGACAAATAACAAGGCTGATAATTGGTTGAGAATTGACTATATCCTTAATATTATAGGATCATACTTAATTAATCCCTTAATACTATAGGATAATTAGCATTGTGACATTTCAATACAGAAACGTCTGCACAACAGCATAAGGGAAATCTATTCAACTTATCACATTAGTTATTAATGCATATAAAGCAAACACCCACATGAGAGTTAATTATATCCAGCAGTTGTGATGCACTAACAATGAAGTCGGTATAATTTACTCATAACAGACTCTTTGTTTTCCTTCAAGAAACTAAATCATGGCAACATCACTYAGGAACCTCTCAGTGGTTCTCTCTCAAGTTCAAACTCTGTCCCATATATACTACTTAGAGCTCACCACAGTTTCCAATTACCAAAAAAAAAGAAAAAAAACCCTAACATATATGCCTTTATTCTTGCAACATGTTCTCTTTTTTTCTTTCTCTCTGCAAACAACCTCCATATTTTGCCCTTTATCTGACGCCTCTTCAATGGGCATATCTCTTCACGTCACTGTTATAGTCCTCTTAAATCACTTCATATTTAGAACCAGATCCAAATAATTACCCGTTAATCATAGCAGTCCTACCAACTCATGCTTCAAAATTTACAGATTCTAAAACATTCATGACATCTTTTAGGCAATGAATATTAAATAATTTAGAGTGCTTGGCACACTGATGCTCTTTGTACTTGCTGAACACATACATGTGAAGACCAGAACTACTGAGCAGTGAAGATCTCGTTCATCAGTGAAAAGGTCGTATTCTGCACGTGTACATTAAAATGTGAGATTTGATTTATGATTGATATTTGATCCAAAGCAAGGTCACATTCAGTCAAACATGGCACTTGTGTATTTGCTACTTGATCCAAGATCCAAGGTCATGTTCAGACAAATGTGTCGTCTGAGTACATGGTATATTTTTATTATCATGTTAATAAACGTAAAGCTCTCCTACTTTCCCATTTGTCCACATTTGGGCCTCATCTATTACCTTTATACTTTTTAATGTTTTGCAATACTGTACAAAAGTTTATTAAATAATTACCTAAGACAAGGTTTTGAACCGATGAACAATTAGGAACACTCCAGTTGGGGTAATCACAGCTCTGGAAGTCAGGTCAGTATCTCAGATTGAAGCTGCATCTGGCTGCAAGGTATGCTCTAAATCAAGAGAGATTAAAAACAAAAACAAAATCACAAAAACTTGTCAACTGCATGCACATATGAGACATCCTCAACTATTAATGTTACTTCTAAAATATGATCTGAAAGTCCCAGAGGTTGAGTCAAGGTCAGTTCCCATATACCCAGCATTTACACATCCATCCTAACCTGATGCTTGCTTAAAAATTAGATGCTTCAGACTAAATAGAAATGTTGCAATTGCTTCCTTATACATTGAGGGCTCCATCTTAGATTACTCAGAGTAACTTCTCAGCAATTTTTTAATCATGCTTTGATATTCTAGATTTTTTTTTTGCTGAAGGATGAAGATATCTGAGGGTAAAAGACACATACAAATTGTATTTTAGTTTGATGACTATATGATTACTTGCAATATAATCAGTTTTTGAAGAAAATAAAATGTAAGATCCTTGCTATGTCTCCAGAAGAATAAATTTTCATTACATATGGTAAAAATAAACTTCAGAGCTTAACAAATTAAAGCCATCTGCACAACTAAAATTGCCAATTAAAATTATAATTTAATACACACACAGGCAATGCCAAGCAGAATTTTCAGCTATTTTCCATTAAATGATATTAATTGTACTGTTACACAGATCTCTCCACCTCCAAAATTTTAATTGTGCATGTGTTTGATAGGTGGARAAAAAAAAAACACAAAAAAACAGATACAACATACACAACTGTCTTATATAAAACATCACAACTGCTGCAACAAGCAAAGCTATCTCATAACTCTAACAGAGTTTGAATTAAAAAAAATCATCATTAACTTACAGAGTTAAGTAAGGTATTTGATAATACAATTAATAGCCATTTCTAAAAGTGCAGTAATATTTTGATACTCCTTAGGGTTCAAGTATACCTTTAATGTGTTCTTATAAACTGGAATATTGAATTCATTTTGTTATGCCTCCACAGATCCTTACACATGATGGCAATTGATACATATTGTTAATCAGACACTTCTCATTGACAGGACCAGCAGTAATGTCCTGTAAGAGCTAAGAATTTCTGTTTTGTTATAAGTAAAAATATCTGCTTGAATTTTAAATGTACACCAAAATGAAAGCTGGGAAATACTTAATCTGCTGTTCTGTGGGAGTTCTTATAATTCCCATGCAATTTTAACCTTGTTTACTCTCAAAACAAAGGAACAATCCCGTGACAAAAATACTTGTCAGCTGAATATACCTAATACCTGGCCTTATTCTGCAACATAAGCTGATGAATTTTATGGATATGCATTCCAGGACATGAAATTTCCATATCATTGTCACCCCATGTCTTCCTATCTGGTCTCCTTGATCTTTCCCTATCTCACAACACTTCTCGTTCACTCTCCCCATACAATGTCCCTGAACTACTGACTAGGCAAAGAGCAAACACATGTTGTAGCTGGTTCAGAGTTGCATGTTGCAACTGGCTTGTTAGAGCTCTACTGCTGATTGGCAATTGGCAAGCCAAACAAAACAGATAATTGTTGAATTCACATTGCACCATTTCCTCAGCAGGGTCAATAATGGGTTCCTTTCTTCTTTCCAGATACCAGCTTTCACAAAATCTATAGCATTTTAAGGCCTCTGCAATCACTAATCAATTTTGATATGAATCASCAGGAGGTTCTAAGTTGTTGGAATGGAGAAGGCAGCAGGCAGTATTGTGCATGCCCTATTTTCTTAGGTAAATAGACTGTAAGAGACGAGAAAATGATCCTGAAAATACTTTTTGGTGTAGCAGTTTAGAAGTATAACTCTCCTCCAAGGTAAGTCTGCAATATTCCCTCTCCTTGCATTCAATTAGCTTTTAGAATTGGCGTTATATTTGCTAAGGTTAGCCAAACACAAAGAGTGCACCTGATGCCTGGTTAGCACTTGAAGGTTTCTACAGTTTTCCAGAGTCCATCGCTTTGACTCCCAAACAGATACTTTATTAGGAAAAAGATAATCGACTCTGCCTAGATTAGTGGTTAAATATTCACTTTGGTTGAGGACTTCTGACCTGTAGGCAAAAATATTAGCTTTTACAGCCATCCTAGTGACAACACTCTTGAACAGAGAAAAGAGTGCTTGCTTTGGAAGGAAACTTTTTATCTAAAAAGAGAGAGGAGAAAGAAAGGGAAAAAAAAAACACAAAAAAAATCTATTAATTTATTTAAACCAACATGCAGAAAAGTCCAGAATATAATTCACCTTAAAAACACCTCTTATATCATTAAGTTCATTCAAAGTTTTAATTCAATCTGATCTGACCTGCAAATACAAGGAAGGCTTAGCAATTCATAGAATCATAGAATGCCCAAGGTTGGAAGGGACCTCAGAGGTYATCGAGTCCAACCCCCCTGCTCACACAGGGTCACCTAGAGCACGTGGCACAGGGCTGCAKCCAAGCGGGTTTTAAAGATCTCCAAAGAAGGAGACTCCACAACCTCTCTGGGCAGCCTGTTCCAGTGCTTTGTCACCCTCACTGTGAAGAAATGCTTCCTTAAGTTCCTGTGGAACTTCCGATGCTTCAGTTTGAAGCCATTTCCTCTAGTCCTATCRCTGTCCACCACTGAAAAGAGGCCGCCCCCTCCTCCTCACTGCCTCCCTTGAGGTATTTACAGACACTGATCAGGTCCCCCCTCAGCCTCCTCTTTTCCAGGCTGAACAGGCCCAGCTCTCTCAGCCTTTGCTCACAGGGCAGATGTTCCAGGCCCCTGATCATCCTCGTAGCCCTGCGCTGGACTCTCTCCAGCAGCTCCACATCCCTCTTGTCCTGGGGRGCCCAGAACTGGACACAGTCTCCAGATGTGGCCTCACCAGGGCTGAGTAGAGGGGGATGATGACCTCCCTCRACCTGCCTCGATCACCTACCTCGACCCGTCTCTAGAACACAGAACACCAGGTCAGACACAAGCCAGCCCCTTGACAAACTACTTCCAGTTTCCCCAGTTTCATCACAGAGCTTCAGTTAGAAACAATCAATACAAAAATCACAGCTCTGCATCTATACCTGCTCCCCTGCTTAGGCATTCTTTTAAAAGGAACATAAAGCCTCCCAGTCTCCTCTTTTCATTTACAGCTTAAGCCTCCATTTAAGCTCAGTTGCTCCTTTGCAGGGCTTGGGACAGAAGTCCATTTACTTTGACATCTACCACTTCCCCCTTGGCTTCTGAAATCAACAACAACAAAATCTTTTCACCTTAACTGCACCTCCTTTTCAGGCTCCAGCCTCTTCCCCGCCCCCAAATCTCAGGTTACAGTTTCTGCTTTACCCTGGTACTCTTAGCTTCAATACTCTTTCAGCTGTCTTACTCCTCTCTTTCCTAAACCATGCCAAACCATCCTTAAATCATCTCCTTGCTCCCCTCGGGTGCTCCAGTCTTCTATCTCAACTCCTCTAGTATCTGCACAGCTGCGCAGCTGCAGCCCCTTGCATGATTCACCCCCAAACACAACAGACCATGATTATTCACTATTTGAAAAGCTCCAGTGGAATTTACATCTGTTTCTGGAAAAGATTCAAGAAGCCTGAATTCGCCTTCTTCATAGAGAAGGACACTACTGTGCATTTTCCGTGGTTTTATGCCACTGATAAACTCCACTCCCTTGCCCAGCCACACTAGTGAGACATATTTGATAGACTTAGTTCAGCTCGGTGAGATTTATATTATATATTAAGGTCCCTTCTGTTTGATTGCTTCTGTGAGTGCATTTTTTAAAACTAACTGAGGCAATGCTGATGTGCTACCCTTCACACTCGGGACAAACTCTGTTGTCTTCTACAGGCAGCACCTGGAGGTTCCCTCATTTGCTTATTCTTCAGAGCATTGTCATTTTACTCATTCTTTCACAGTATTTTTTTTATAGATTCAGCTTTTACATTTTTTAAATGTTCAAAATAAACAAGCTTGGACTTAAGGACGCACTACAACTCAGAATACTGAGAATGGAATGTGATAAAAAAATCACGTTTTAAATTTATTTTTAATTAAAAAAAAAAAAAAAAGGGTTGGGATTTTCAGGTTTATTTCAGTAACATAGAAATTCTCACCATAAGCTTTTCCTCATGACAGATGTATCTCACACACACACACAAAAAAAAGTTTACACTGAATTAACATTGCTGAGTGGAGTCTTGGCAATAGGCATGAATCTAACGAATCTGCAGGTTTTGGCAAACAGACATCAAGTACTTGTACTTCCAAGCTACTGACATGTCAGATAGAGGATACACTCGGGACATATGACTTCACAGGACTAAAGCAGGCCATTTGCTGCCGTAGAGAGATCACAAGCTTCACACCACTGCCTGATAAAAAAATGCCAAAATATATCCAGGTATTTTCCTGATGTCTAAGCTCTCCGCTAGTCCTTCACATGAATGAAGGGTGTCTCCTAAGTGGTTTAATAGCTCTGATATTAACAATAGCATTGCCATTGCTGCTCTCCCTCATTGCCTTTTTTTTTTTTTTTTTTTCCTTTTTTTAAACTGTTAAAGCAACTGAAGAACAGATAGGTAGAAGTCAAATAGATTACTGAGACAGCCAGGAAGAGAAAAGTTATTGAAAAAGACATTTATATGCTTTCATATGTCAGATATTTTACCTGATGGAATCAGGCTTTGGACTAGCAGTTACAGGTGTGCAGAGCTCTGGCTCTGCAGAGCCAGCCAGGAGGTGCTGGTTGCAAGTCAAAGTTATGTTGTGGGTAGTTAAACAAGCCAGGTTAAGCAACCCAATAGCTCCCCGCCATCGAAAGGGTGTCCCTGTCACAGCTCCCTGGCATCATCAGCCCTGCATCTTCCTCCCTCCTTCACTTCCAGCCTCACAGCTCCATCCCACCCTTGTATTGGCTCTCACACTGGCCTGGCCTCTCTGGCCACGTGTATAACAACAAATAAAAGAGGGCCAGAGCCCAGGCTAAGCCACACCGGTAACACACCCTCCGACACCATTTTGGCCCCATCTGCTAGGACTCTCCGAGACAAATACCCGGGCACAGTTAGGGGGTCAGCACATGGAAAGCAGTGAACTGCTCTCAACTTGCAGAACCCTCTGTTCCTGAGGGAGACAGTTTGGATGCGGGAGCAAGGGAAAGGAGGAGGAAGAGGGAGCCTGACTGATCCTTAACAACTCTTGCTGGATCAGCTCAGCCSTCACTGCACAGACATCTGACAGAATACCGAGAGGCGGCACCCTACTTTATGTTTTTATTTCTAAATGCATCAACGATATAAAGCATATGTTTGGTAATTTATATCATTATTATATATCATTATTATAAAATCTATGTATAATTATATTAATTATTAGTATTTATTTGGCCTATCTAGAAGAGAGAGAGAGCTATAAACTGAAAAAGCACATATTCTTAAAGGATAATTAGTATTAAATTTCCATAGGACTTATTAACTTGACAAAATGCAGCTCCCCATAGCTTCAGTTAGAATTATGGCAGCYCAGCATGCTGAAAAATGAGGTGCCCAAAATATACATTTAGAAGCTGAAAGTTTGACARCTATTTGAAAATATCGTCCTATTTATGCACAGTCACATCTCTTTGGAAATACAATATACAAAATATACAGCTGCTGGGTTTCTTTTCCAAAAGCAGTATTCTATTCTAGGAATTACTCTTTCCTATCAGCTGCATGATTTCAAAAGCTGTTACCTGATTTGTTTCTAGCCAGTCTGGCCTGCTTATCTGTGCACAGCAGCCTTTTGTTCCAAGTTRCATACAGATGTATTCATAAAATCAATTTCAGGAGTAAAAAACAGTTCAAATTTCTCATGTATTCTTCTCTGTGGAATATGTATGTCAAATATGAGTATACATGCTACAGCATTTTTAAGTTTCATACACAAGGAGCATGACAATGTAAGTCACAGAGCAGAATTGCCAACAACTAGTCTGAAAACCCCAGTAGACAGAAAATTSTCCTGTTAACACAGCTCTCTTCTACTGAAGCTGCATCCATACATTATATTGCATGAACAACAAAAAACATCCAAGAAATCCTAATTCAACATACCCGCTCAAAAGTGAATGTTTACCTATACATTAAGGAAGAAAATCTGGAAAATTGCCCTTAGGCATGTCCAACTTCACAGACTAAATCTCAGTGTCCAGTATTTTATATTTGAGCCATTTTTTTTTTCAAATTATTCTTAAGACTACTAAACTTCATCAAGAAGTTAGTTCTAACCTCCACCATTAACATAAGTTTTTTTGCTACCTATGTACATCGCCTGTAATCTATTGCTGAAACTGCCTCCATTATTACCTGTGGGCTTTAAAAATATACATATTCTGAATGGAATGGATATATTACTGAATTATAGGAATGTTCATCAGCCCTACTGTAAAGTTGCTATCAAGCACTGCCTGGAGTGATTATCTGTTGACACTGCACCTGCTCTCTCCTCTCCTTGCCACCCATCCCAAATCCATGCAGTTCCATATTACATTTATTTCAGCCTATCTACTCTAAGAACTATTCTTCATGCATGTAAAATAAAGATGTGAGAAGGGTTTGCTTTGTTTAACATGAGCCTACAGTGTCACTCCAGTGCCATGYGCTTAACATTCTTGTTGAAACAGTAACACTAACAGAAGAGACCAGAAAACGTCAACAGTAACATCAACAGTAACAACGTCAACAGCAACAGTCTTTTTACTTCCAAATAAATTTTGCTAAYAGACAGAAGTTGTTCATACCATGTGAACATTCACCTTCTGATTTAAAATTCAGTGTTTTCTTCAGTTAATTGTTATATAGCCATTTCCAGAAAACAGGAAAATGTTGTTAAAAACTAAACCAAAAAGGCATGTAGATTTAAAAAAACGAACAGAAAAAAAAAAAAAAAAAGGCAATACACCTCAGCAGATGGGTATTATAACTTAACCAAGACAGCATCATTGTGCTGGATGCACAGATACACCCAAAAAGACAGGAAGCCCTGCCTCAAAGCCTTAATCACAGGTGGTAGTTTCACATGATATATTTTATTTAAATCTAAATAATTTTAGGACTGATCGCAATAGTATTTTCCAAAGGAAAAAAAAACACTAATTACTTTATTCACTCTTTGATGAACATGAAATTAATCTACTAGCAGCTATCTGCACATATGTATCAAATTGAAAATACAAAATATTGCACTTGCTGGCTTTCAATGGCTATATCAACTATCTGAAATCAAATGTTCCTCAAGGCAGACACATTTTTGAACATTTTTTTTCTCTCTTTGGAAAGATTAATTGAATTATCTTATAATTTATAAATAAATTATATAAAAAAGACCAAGTTATTAGCATTTCTAGAAAGAATAGGTATTTCGACAAATGCTTGCAGTTTATCTTGCACTATTAAGTGTTTCCACAGGAATAAGATAACTTGAACTCAATAAATTTAGGCATAGTTTGTTTACTTTTCTTTTTTTTTTTTTCTCAAATAAAAAAGAAAAAAAGAAAAAGAAAAAAGCTTCTACAGCCCACAACAAACATCACCACACCAACCAGTCATGTGTAACAACTTCAATCTAGACCAGGCTTAGACTACTTGTGAACTATATAACAGTTGATAAATTGTGCATAAGAAATTCTTAACCAAACACAGAAATTATACTTCCTAGATATTAAAAGGCACATGCAAAGCATTTATAAATAAATATCGTTTCATAAGCAGAAACTATTAACTGGTATGAGGAAGCAGAATCAGATTTGGCAACATCACAATGCCACATGCAGTCTGGTCACATAACAATCTGCTCCATATCCACTTCATGTTTTAAAAACAAGCCAAATATTACACTTAATAGATTGAGAGTTTTTATGTTTATTTTGAGTACAGTGATGGCTGAAGGTCTAATCTTACAAGACAAGTACTTTTTCATTCAGGAAATATCAGCACTCTTTCATCAAAAGTTGTTTAATAGTGAATTTTATATACCTCGTCACGTAAGATACTGAGCAYTACTTCTAAAGTATTAGGAATTCAGAATGCTATTGGAAAAGGCTTTACACAACTTCTCTCATTAAAAGGTACAACACAGCAGTAACTATCAGAACATATGTAAAAAATATTCTGCTTTCCGGATTGTTCTGTTACCTTCCACTTATCAAATATTTGTTTGTACTATTTACCCACATGTCCCTTTTTTTTCCTTTGTCAGAAATCCTTCCTCAAATACTTTTCCTCTCTAGCTGTCAAAAAAAAAAAAAAAAAAAAGCAAGAAAGATACCTCTCAATCAACATACTTACTCATTTCATGCAGCCTTCTGCAAGGTTGAAAGAGAACGTGGTTTCCATAGCCTGTTCCTCTTCCATGTCACATGCACATTGGTGATAGTATGTGGCTCTTCATAAATAAAAAGCTGCTGACATTCTTTCTTAAAAATAAATAAATGAACAGAGTGAGCAAAAGTTTCCAGAAGCTTAGCATCATATTAAAAAATACAACATAAAATKTTCTTTATGCTTCTTTAGAAAAATATACCATCACTTCACTGAGCCTATGTTATTTTAAAATCTATTTATTAACACAAGCCTTACAGCTGGACCACTCTGACACTTAGCTGAGTGGGGTCTATGACTGGTTCTGGTATCTGCTGCACATATGCATCCACAAGGTTATCTTTGCAACAGGCCTTTTAAGTGCCATTCACACCTCTAAGGTAGAGATTTTACTTTTACATACTTCAGAAAGCTTGTTTAAAAACAATCAAGCAAGCAAAAAAAAAAAAAAAACTTTATTTTCACAGATAATATGGAGATTTTTTTCCCCTTATAACAAACATTTCCTTTGCAAAAGAAACAGAAAACTTATAACTGAAATCTCGTAAGGTAAGCGAAAGCAAAATAAAGAGAGGGGGAAGGAAATCAAATAAACAAAAACCAAAACCACAATCACAAAAATCACTCCTTGACTATCCCAAGTCAACAGCGAGCGGTATAACCTGTTTTCTGGAATAAGATGAATATCCTAGGCCATGCATCCTATGCTGCTACAGCGTATATCATCTTCTATAATAGTTTAAAATAATGTAAACATTAAAGGTTTAAATATTTTTAATATTTTAAACAACCRTACAATATCACAACTGCAATGCCATCACTTGTCCATGGTTAAAAATTCATTATTCCCCTTAAGAGGAATTTTTGAGGGACATGAGTAGAATAAAAAACGCCATTCAAGAAATGCAAGTGAGAAAAAACATAAGGTTTTCACAAAACACAGGATCATAATAAACAACCAAAACTCCTTAGGCCACTTGATTATAGAGGATGAGCCTGAATATAAGGCATCAGCAGAGATGCAACATAAGGCATCAGCAGATTGATAAGAACTTTTTTAGATCACGTGTTTCTTGCACACATGGACACGGAAAGAGAGCACACTGTCCTCACTGTTCTACAAACCTCTGAGAGGTTCAGTTAACACTCGTCCTTCCGAAACAATACACTGTGCTACTGAGATCCCCAAAAAATAAAAATCAAAAGTTGCCATTAAAAGTAACCCTTGGCCAAAGGTTGTTTGACAGCTCCTGCCAAACAACAGAGTTAAGATACTGCTGCCGTGTTGAGAGGACTTGTGACCCCATCACATGAGCCACCAGTGCTGTTAGTTGCAGCCTGAGAGCAGCCATCCTCATTATTAAAGCAGTGATTCAAAACCGGTAAAACGAAGCTGGTTTTGTAGCTTATCGATTTTGCTGTTTGGAAGAGGGAGTAAAAAAAAGGGGGGTGGGGGGTGTCAGCCCAGTACTTGGTGTTACCTGCTAATAAGAAAGCAAGTCACACAACACAAGAACAGGTTGGGGAAAGCCTTGCCTCCCAACAAAACTTATGCAACGTCTTCAGTTGCGCAGCCCTTCTGCGACATCCAATGCCACAAAAGTGCCAGGCATCATTATTCCAGATAATCCAGTTTGACGAATCCTGTGCTCATACTTCTTCCATTAGAGACCTTAGGAGTAGCTGTCCACGCCAGTGAGACCGGGCTAATCTTAATTTGAATAGACAAGACTTTTAAGCTTCCAACTTAAAAGCAAGACCTTTCAACTCTTCTTTCAATTCCCGTCTGAATGCTATCTTTCTCACTCTTTCAGAAAACCAGTGSAGAGCCCTGCAGGGACAATCAAGAACACGTTTTTTCTTGCTAAACCGCAAAGCAAATCTAAGGGGAGCTGCCAATGACCCACTCCTCCCTCCAAGGACAGGCGATTTGCCCGGGCCAAGCGAGCGGGGGAAGCAGAGCCCGCCTGGGGGACGACCTCCCGGCGCCTTATCTTCCCTCTGGGGCACATGCTGCTTTCCCAAAGCAGGCAGCCAGCACAGCTCAAACGTGCTGCGCCCAGGTGACACCGCAACGGCGAAGCAGCGTTTGCAACGCCACGGCTGCCTCTCCCTCTCGCTCCTGCCCTCCCTCCAGCAGCCCCGAGCCTCCCCGTGAAGTTTCCCCGTTCGCTGCTTCCCCTCCGCCCGCCTTTGCTGACCCCACCGGCGCGGCTCTGCAGGGCGCTTCGCAACGCAACAGCACAAAACAAAAACACAGCAGAGAGGGAGACAGGAAAAGCAGAGACGGGGGCAAACACGCAGCGACTCCACAGCCCGACCGCCACCCTTTGAGCCGGCGGCCGGAGCCGCCGCTCCCGCCCCGGCCCGGCCCGAGCCCGAGC